TATTTTTTATTAATTGAAATGGCAACCAAACTTTATTTTCCACTTTAGTTTCTATCATATGCCCTGACTTCTCCATAACTAATACAAAGAGGTATGAGGATATTGGATCCCCTTATCTAACTTTCCTTGATGGTAAGAATTGGAGGCCTTTCTCCCCATTCTAAAGGACTTGCATAACAACAGTGGAGAGATATTTAGATGCTAAATTAATAAACATGGTAGGAATGTGTAGCTCCTCCAAGCATCGAACAACAAAATTCTATCTAACACAATCATAAGCCTTTTCCAAGTATATCTTTAAGGCCATGAAACCACGTTTTCCCTTACAATTACAAAACGAGTGTATAATCTCTCATGCAACAATTATATTATCCGTACTTTACCTATCAAGAATAAAACTTCATTGATTCGGGGTAACCACCTTTGGCATGATACTTTTAAGTCTTGTAGCAAGAGTCTTTATAATGACCTTATACACCACATTGTATAGACTAACAAGCTGAAAGTCTTTAATAGTCTTAAGAGTTTCAACCTTATAAATGAGCACAATATTAGTATTATTAATACCACTCACCAAGTTTAAAGTTTGAAATATTTATTGCACAAGTTGGTAAACAGATCCACCTACTACTTCCTATTAGTTCTAAAAGAAGAGAAGGTTAGCCCATCCGGCCCTAGTGCTTTCAAAGGTCTATTGAAAATACTGCTTCCTTTACTTCTTGAAAACTTACATCCCTACCTAGTAAGTTTAGATTAGTTTGTGATATGGGTGGGAATGTCCCATCAATAATAATATCATTAGAAAGAGCTGTTTTCATGGCATATAATCTAGTAAAATATATAGTACCCATCATTTTCAAAACTTCATTGTCATATATCCATTCTCCATCCTCACCTTTTAAAGCTTCTATATGATTTCTTTACTAATGTACTTAGTTGTTGTATAGAAATATCTAGTATTCTTATCACCCTGAGCATACCAGTTACATCTAGACCATTAAAGCCATATAATTTCTTCTTGAACTAGAACACTTTCTAATTTATTCTAGATGGCCATTGTTCATCCTCCAATTTTCTCGAGTTCAAATTCCCACTTAGTTTATGATTAATTCCCTCAAGTTGAGCCAATAATTCTGCTTTTTGCCTGTTTATATTGCCAAAAAATATTTCTTTTCCAATCAGATACATTTGTGATGAATCTATCCACATTTTCCTCTTAACTATGAGATGGACATCAAGAACCCTTGACAAGAGTTTTAAACCCTTCACGTGTAACCCAGGGTGAAAAAAAAAAAGAAAGTCTTTTGTCTTATTCCTTTACCGCGTTTCCCTACTTAGTCTTAGTAAAAAAAGGTAGTGATATGATTTGAATTTTAGTAAGTGCACAACTGAAGCTTCAATAAATTGCTCAAACCACTCTACATTTATAAGTACACGGTCAATTCTGCTTCATGACCTCCCACTACTCCAAGTTTATTTAGGTCCCTGGAACCCTATGTTGATAACTTTTTCTCTAGACACCCAATTGCTAAAGTTTCAGTCAAGTCTCATTATTGAAGAAGTCAATAAGAACCTCTCTTTTTCCTTCAGCATAGCATTAAAATCCCCTCCTATGCACCATCTTTATACACTATGTTCCTCAATATGTCATAAACACTGCCATAAGTTACATCATCAAGCATAACAAGGATTACCATAAATAATTGACAAGTCCCACTCTTCTCTAGTACTAGTGTTGAAACCCCTGCAGTACCTATTCATGTTTTCCTTTCACTCTATACTTCATTTCATCCCCCCAAAAACACCAAATACCTCCATTATAACCCTATGCCTCGGAACAATTAAAGTTCTTAAGTCTAACTCTTTGAGCTATACATTTAGCTTTAGAGTTGTCATGTTTCGATTCAAGAAGAGCCATGAAGTCAAACTTATGATGCTTATGTAAATCAACAAGTAAACCTGGAGTCCTCCCCCACCAACTCCACAAACGTTCCAAATAAATAGATTTTTTAAGACTACTATCCATAACAAATATTTAGGAAAGGAAAGAAAAGATACCATCATGTATGAGCATGTCTTCACTCGAGGTCCATCATCTCTTCCTCATTATTCCCATCAAAAAGCATATTTGAGTAAATATGGAATTCGTCGGTTTGTCCTGTACCTAGGTCTAACAGGTTGTCATCTATCTTCATGATGTCCCTGCCGTAATCTCATTCTCACCTTCATCTATAGACTGCTTGAATTCAGGGTCTATTATGTCCTCCATCACCCTTTCCTAACCCATAGTTTCTTTAGTATTTACTGGTTGCATGCTACTACTAGCCCATTTGTCTAAGTCCAATCTAGCTTTAGCTCGATTTAAAGTCTCCATCCCCACTAGGTTAGTACCCATCTGCTTTGGTCCACTTTGCAAATGCTTTCCCAGTTCGTTATTCGTCCCTTGTTTTGGCCCATTTAAATTTTTATTGTGCATTCTAATTTGTGGACCATATTTTTTTTCCTTCCTGTCATGTCATTACATTTATTTGAAATATCTTATAATGGCACTCTCTCCTTTATTTTCTTCGAGATTATATTCACTTGTTCCATTTCTAACATAGAGAAGCGAGATTTTCGCATACCAATCTATAATTTAACCATGATATCTCGCTTAGAATCGCTCGCCAGACCAACCATTCAACCATCACATCAGAACCATCTTCCTCTCTGCACCAACATCCAGGAGTCATATTAGACATTGAAATTTGCCACCATCCTCCTATCAACTTCTTTCTTTTCTTTTGATTGGGATATCACAGTGATGCCTACTTCTATATCCTTCTTAGTTTGCACCATATCTTTCATCGGTCTCTCTTTTCCTTCAGAGTTATATGATTTTTCCAAGCAATGATCAGCTTCATGTCCGTACTTGCTGCAATTGAAACATATGAGATGGATACCTTCATATTGAATTTTCTTTTCTTTCTCATTTATGCAGAGTAGCAGCCTCATTATGTATTATTTTTATTTAATTATTATATAACCATTTCGACCACCGATCTAACAGGTTAAACTATGACAACTATGACTTGCTGACTTTTCCAGTTCATTGTCTAGTCTAGTTTTTAAGACATTGGGTAACAAAACCAATAAATAGTTAAAAAATATTATATTTGCTTCAATGATATCATATTAAAATATTAACAATGTAATACATAATAATTTAAAAATTATTATTATTTACAAATTTTCACATACAATTTACATGTTAACTTTTAAGATTTACACATTCTCTAGTAATTTACAATTCAACTTGTGTATCTTTTATTTATAAATTAATGAACACGCTTTATTTTGAAGGAGGAATTGTAAAGTTAGAGATTTAATCGATATTAATTTTTTATAGAGTATTTATTTATAATTTTATGAGTCATTTTTTATAACGTTTGATATTATTTTTGTTTTATGTCATTTTTTTAGTCAACTAATGGTTAAAATTAATTTTTTTAATGACAATGTGATTAATGCCCCCATTTTCAAATGTTATAAAAAAAATTACACTACATGTAAGTTTAGCATACTAGAAGCTTCTAAGCAAATAGTTAGGGAGTAAAAATACACTTTAACTCTTCTTTCACTCTAATCTAGATTAATTTGGCTGGCATACTTCTTTAGAAGACATATCTCCCATAAGAATTTAATCGTTGATGTATATCCAATGCTTGAATTTGAGACCTCTAGCTAAACTGGACCAAACCCTTAGTCAATTGATCTAATCATTCGATGGTTATGTATGTAGAAATAAATTGAAATAGAGTAGATTATGACAAACTGAAATGGAATATAACATCTTATTGTTTTAAAGTTTTATTTAATTATTATTAAATTTAAATTAGTTATAATCATGTTTTTTCAGTTTTAGAGTGGATAAGAAGAGTGAACGAGTGAGGGGATGAGAATGAGGGGATAATTTTATAGTGACATTATTTATACAAATTCATTTTTATTTTTAACCTCTCAACTTAAAAGGTCGCGACGTATTAAAAAAAAAAGGTCATAAAAAGAAGAAGGGTTTAGATGACTAAAAATGATTTGGGATATTATTTCAAGCCATTCATCTCTCTTTCAATAATGTTTTTTTTCAAACAAAGGTATAAAGCTTCTAACCATTACAACTCCATTTATTCTATCTTAAAAAAAAAACCTCAAACACTGCCTTAATTTCTAATTATTTCCTTTAAAGCATTATTTTTTTCATTTACTATCCCTAATTAGAACTATAAAAAAATTTATTAATTAAAAAAACTGTTATTTTTTTGGTAATGAATTGAACAAACTCTTCTAACTAATGAACTGAGGAAAATTTCAAAATTTTATAAAAAAAAATACTCCCTCTGTTTAAAAAGATAAGACATTTTTAATTAAATTTCATCCACAATAAAGTAGTTATCTACTTTTAAACTAACTTTATCTTTTCATATTTACCTCTATTAAACACTCTATAATAAATATAAAGCCATTCATTAATAGAAATACTTTTAAAAAAAACAATGATTACACCTTAAAAGATTAAAAATACTTTATATTTTTTAACATTCAACTCTTTAAAAAATACCTTACATTTTTTAACAGAGGAAGTAACTAATTTTAATTTTTTTATAATTTATATAAAGTTGCTAATAAATTATTATTAAAAAGATTGGAGGGAGGGGCAATAAAAAAAAATCTTTAAACAATGCACTCTCAAAATAATTCTCCTAAACTCTGCAAATTAGAATTCTCATAACTAGTAATTCATCACGTAGAGAGGAGAGTTTTCCAGGGCGTTGGGATTGAAGGAATAATCAATTTTTTTAAGCAAAGTAATTGATTTTAGAGAAATAATCCGAACAACTCTGCTTGTACTTAATTGATTATTTGGGCTGGATTCGCATTTTTTATTAAGCTCCTCCTGGCTACTTTTTGTTCATCAATTTTACCGTTACAATGTATAATTATTTGTCAGATTTTCACCTGCCAAGATTACCCTCGTTCAATTCCATTATACGTGATATGTTTGCATTCTCTGTTCTCTCTTCTCTTCCGGAACCTCGAGCTCGTCTCGTCTCTCACTCTCTCCGATCTCCTTCTTGTGCCGTGTCTCCACCGTCAACCTGTTGTCGTCCCACCCCTACGTGGTCACCATCCGCTGTCTCTGATCTACGGCCAGCTCAACAATCTCCAAGCTTCGATCTCCTTCGTGTGCCGCGCTCCTGCTTCTCCTAAGCCGTCCTTCTCCATTCGTCGACTTGGCCGCCGTTCAGCAAGCTTCAGCCATAGTCGAAGTAGGTCCGAGTTGCCTTGATCTAGTCGCCCCATCTCCGATCTGCTGGTCTTCATCCACCATCGATTTGGTCTGTGGAAGAAGAAGGTCGGTGTGCTCCTTTTTCGGTTTTCTATCATTTTAGGTTTCCCTCCACATTCCCTGATTCCAAACCTTGTGGACCACAGTGTGCTAAGATTAGGAATATATTTTTGTTTGAAATTGTTTATTTGTTGGTTAGCAGTTATCCTCCACATTCGGTTTTCTATCATTTGATTGTTTGATTCCAAACTGAATGTTAATCTTGTTTTAGGTTTTGTCTGTGTGTTCTGGATTTTACCTACGGGATGTTAATCTTGTTATGGTGATTGTTCTTCAAGCCTCTGATTTTTCTGGGTTAATAATCTTGTTCTGGTTTTTCTGTTTGATTCTCTGATTGATGAGGTGGAGTGATAGTGAGTCACGTGGAGTGCCAAGTGTACGTTTTTGGTGAAACAAAATTAGTTAAGGTCAAAGTTAACATTAATCGAAGGGACGTGTTCTGTTTTTTTTTTTTTTTTGGGTCAGGTGTACGTTCTTGTTCTGGTTTTTGCCTTCGGTTCTCTGATTGTTCTATTTTATGGTTTGTAAAAAGTTTATGGTTTTTTCAGAGGGTTGGAATTACGTTTGCAAAAAATTTTAGGACTGCGGAGGCTTTTTTTTTTAAATAATCGTGTGTATGCTCTATCGATAATCATAGGGAATAATCATGATCATCATCATGATATCATTAATACTACCAGACGAGTCTTGTATAGATATTGGGTTGTTAATTTTAATTTCGTGTACGAAGAAGATAATATAATGATTAACTATCCTCCTAAGTTGGCTTAAGGTATATTTGGTTTACCTTTCAACTGAGGTTGGGGGTAGCCCAAACCTCATTTGAGAGGTAAAATGCCCATTGTCCCATTTAAAATCTTGTTTGGAAGGGGGGAAAAAAAATCACACGAGCAACAAGACAAAACGAGCGTTATCAATGAAGTTAGGAAAAAGAGCTTATTGACGCTCGTTGCAAAATGGGCTTTAATATCATATTCTCTCTCCTCTTTATCTCCCTTGAAACCCCAAACTGTTTCAAAATGGACTCGCACTCTCAGGTCCAAATCTTCAACATTCTCACCACCAATTCTGTTTTACTGATATCATTGAAACTCATTGATCATGTAATCAGATCCATCTATTTTGAAGATCCCCATCTCGTGCCCTGGCGTCGATGGAATCTGAAGAGATCAACGGCCAAAATCTACACCGTGCAAGCATTGGACACATTGAAGACCATATCAGAGGGATTTAGCTGACTGGTAATCATGGACCAGATTGCGAGTGTGAACAGCATCATTGTAGCAAATCATTTGACCAACAGAGGAGGTTGGTGATAATGTTGCTATGTAGGTGCTTGAATAATGTGAGGAACAGCGAAATGACAGTGTATATGTCATATAAGGTGAGAGAGGGAGCGAGCTTTTTATTTTTTTAAGAATAAGAGAGGGAGAGAGCTTAACGAAGAATCTTTATTAACCTTGTAAGTGTAATATATATCAATTTTTTTGGATTTTTTAACTCCACTTTTTTAAAAATGTAATTTTAATTTACAGTTTAATATTTTTAAAAATGTCAAATTGATCCTAAAATAAAAATAATAAAATTTACTGTGGAAATAGTTTGTGCAACAATAGTAAAACATAGCTTTATTAGGGGAAATTTAATTATCAATGTTCAATTCATACGAAGTGGAGATGAAAGTATAAGTGATCATGAGTGTCACACCCTAATATTAAAAATATGATCGGCATAAAATATGACATGGACTCACATTTCATAAATCTTAATTATCTAAAAGTTAAGTTAAATTGGCAATATATGCAAGTTATATATAATAATAAAGTTCTTAAAGTTTTTTAAAGTTTTTGTAGGAATTTCAGCAGAGTTCCCTTATAATTAGGACCTCCTGAAATTTCACAACAACTACAGAACTTGTCAATCAAACCAGCAAGGAAACTGGCTCCCTTCCAAAAATTTTCACAATAACAAAATAGAATTAGGATCTAACTATATGGTACGTGGAGCACTAGCTTATAATTTGCAAAATACAATATAAGATCTTACCAGTGAGTAATCACCATGTATTTCCTTTATCCGAAAAGCAAGAATGGCCCTCAATGGTCAGTTGGAGGCAAAGGATCAGTTATAATATTTGAGACCAAAAATTTACCAGTGAGCAGCGTCCCGATCCAGATTTTAATAAAGAAGATATATAAAGACAATAAATAATAAATTTAACTTCAAATAATTAATGAAATAATGAATTATCCAAAATTTAAAATAAATAATGATTTTTCATAATAGCATGATTGTGAATTTAGACAAGGCAAATAGAATCACATATGTGTATTAAAAATTTCACTGTTTACAAAATATAAAAACGTACAATAAACACAATTTGATAAAGTATTTTCAGAATATTTTTTGAAAATGATAAATTTAAATTTGAAATTTTAGGAGGACTTTATCAGAACGAATAACAAACGTGGACACACAGTCCATGAAGATAAATAATCAATCAAGCACAACTAAAGGCCACGAAACAAGCGCGATAGAAGCCACGAACCAAGCATAAGCTTGAAGCCTACAAATACAAGTATGAATATGATACTCGCGAATAACTATCCCTCCATTTTACATGCCTTGGCTGTCGCACAAGACTAGCACCTCCAATAGCACCCTGCTAGCTAGGTATACCATGGCGTGCCAAGGGCTAACGGAACTGTTATTAGCAACAACGTTCTGAACTCAGTCCCTCTTTAATTAAAACCAAGCGTGTGTCAAGCAAGAAAGCATTATCAAAATTATCATTTTCAAACACTGTTCAACTATTATTTTCCATTGCTCAAATTTATTTTCATTTCCTCCATACACAAATAATTGCATAAAAAAATTTACAAACATAGAATTAAATAATTAAACTACTTCTGAGAAATAATACCATTTGTCGTATATCCATTTCAATTATTACTTATCAGTAATATAAATCAGTAAAATTAACGCATTTTCAATAATAAAACAATTGTTAGAAAAAAAAAGAATTACAAGAGTATTTGTACAATTTATAAAGGAATAATAGTAAAATTTAAATGAAGGAGATTTATAAACACTTTATTAGAATTGATTTGAAATGCTACCCACTCACTTGAATTCCCAAAAATCTTATGATCAGACTCTCTTAATTTCTTGCTTACTCAATGATGTCCCAATTTAATCTAGCATGTAAACCACCACATTTCATGTCATTATGACTTCCTTTCTTAATATAAGAAAGTGAATTAACATTTAATCTCTTCAATTATTCATTAAATTTCTCAATAACCCCTAAAATTCTCACCAAACCCTTCAACAACCTCTATTAAGTAGTCAACAACACTAGGCACATTCAAGCACAACCATTAATATAACTCTTTTTCCAAACTTAATAAAACTTTAATAATCCTATTTCCATCAACTTCTTCTTTCAAGTATACTTGCAAATACCGTGAGTATATCAAAAATTTGGTTCACAATAATCATCCAATAATTTAATCAACCTTTAACAATAACTTTATTATCACCATTCAGCTCCTCTCCAAACTATAACAATACACAGCATTCACTCAAAGTACAAATCAATTTCCTCAAAATTATAACAGACATTAGGAGAAGCAGAGACACGTTCTTTGGCCAGGGGAAGGAGAAAGGATGATTCATGCTGCCTATAAATTCATAGGAGAAAAAAGGATCGCAATCTAACATTGAATAGAAGTGCAGAAACAACAGCCTCTCCTTAGTTCATAGACTACACCAAAAGACAAAGGAAGAATTCAACCTAGTTGCTCCATATGAGAAAGAAGCAGAATCAGCATATATATATATATATATATATAAAACTTGAGCTTTCTCTATAAACACACACAGTGCCTAGTAGTAGAGGAAAAAGAAAAACTAAGGTTGAATATGCATGCTTACACCCCTTTTGTTAGTCATCAAACAGAACAAAAATTTAGCTCATCACAAGACAAACACGGATGAACAGCAAAAAGGAAGATAATGAACAAGTTTTGTAGCGAGGAGAAGAGAGGATCAACGATTGACCTCAAACTACAGTACATTGATGACAGTTCAAGATTAGCACGTGGTTGAGATTGGTGAAGGAAGCAAGCTCTGTTCTACAACTCAAATAAGGAAGACAGAAACCAAAAATCGTGACTACAAAAATAGAAAAATTTAGCTTATCATACACCTATATAAAACGTTTAGCAGATAGAGAGCAAGAAGGATTGAAGCTACACACAAGCACACACACACAGACGCTCTACCTGGATGGATAAGCAAAAGATGACAGCAAAGGAAGAACAGATTCTAGTGAGCTACTTCTAGTTGCCAAGATGCACCAATTCAGCCATCAGTGAGAGGAAGAGCAAGCCGAAGGTGAAGAGATGGAGTTCGATGGTGATGAGAAGAGAGAACTCAAGGTTGGTGAAGAACAAACGCCAATGCTCCTTTTTTTTTTATTTTCTTTCACGCGAAGAAATACCATCAGATAAGAAAGTTTGGGAAATTACAAGAAAAATACCAAGAAAACTACAAAAAAAGACCCAACAAAAATTACAAAAAGGATCCAAAATTCTCCTATAATCTAAAATAAAATAAAATCAAAGTTGCAAAAAAACTTATTTTAATAAAATATCCCTTAAAAGGAAATTTTGTTTAAATTAAAAAATTTTGGTCGTCACCATGCGTATGATAAAGATAGTGATGAGATATACTTAAATTTACCAAAATTATCACGACAAGTATATATGATCATGAGCATATTTGTGATATAATTAAAAATCAAATTGTAGTTCATATGAATTGCATATTTTATAATTTAAGAATTTATTTTAGTTTATCATAATTGAATATTTTGAATTTTATGATTTAATTTAACTTTTTTAAAAAATTAAGATTTTTGACTTACCAATGTATTTTATATTTGTAATCTACTTTTCTAAAAAACTTGTAATTTTAAGTTTAATATTTTTCCTATAAACATCAAATTAGTCATATATATATATATATATATATATAACAAACTTGATATTCATTTTTATCATTATACATCTCAACTATCTTTTAAATCAAATCATTCAAATAAATTTTAATTTGTCTAACTAACTTTTAAAAAAAGATATCAAAATGTAAATCACATTACAAGCACATATTTTTTTCTAAGTTGATTTTTAACTTTAGTTGCGAATTTTTTAATTCAAATGTATACTTATAATCTTTTCATTAATTGTAATTTGTTTGATCTCCCACCCATTTAGTTAGCTGTGGGGTGATAGTTTTTATTGGTTATGTTTTTAGTTTGCTTCTTTGTAACTTTAAGGGAGACGTTTACCCAAAATCGAGCGGCATTCTAGATGTCCCTCACCTATAAATTCTATAGTAACAAGCCTGAATTCTTGATGAATTGTCCCCAACCCTACAAAATCTTTTTTTTTTTTTGCCAAATCCTGAGAAATCAAGCTACAAGAACTATATATTTGATTGGAAATAATGATCTCCATTAAATCAATTATTAAATTTAAAGTGCCACGTTTAATCTTGCAAAGCAACAAATGCTATCCATCTTCTGCTTGCTTGCTTTTGGACTTAAGTAGGTGAAGAGTTGTAAAGGGCATTGAATTGAAAAAAGGAATTAAGAATTCTTACATATTTGGTCCGTTTGAAAATGATTATTATTCTACCTTAAATGTGAAGTGTTGGACTATAATCAATTTTCTTGATTTTTCATTCAAATTGGAAACACAAATTGTCGGTATACATCTTTATTACAAGATAGTAAATATAAGTATGAATATCAGGTAAATATAAATTATAATATGCTTTTTGAAGTAGAGTGTGCGTGATATCTCTGGTAAAGCTACACAAATTGTCAACATACTTGACAATTCCATCAATAAACTTTTCACATCCACCTTCAAATATATTTGTAGGTTTAATTTATTTATATTAAACTTTTAAATTTATAAATATCAATAATAATTTTCTTTTTACAAGGTAAAATTGATGTGTAATATTTAAAAATTATATTTTTCTCTTTTATTAATGTTATTTAAACATAAATATATTGAGTTATTTATTTACATAAATTAAATTATTAATATTAATATAATTTAATTTTTTATAATTAATCAGATATACAAGTTAAATAATATATTTTATTTTTTAAATAAAATTTAACAAATTTAATAATATTATATATAATTTTATCAATAATTTAATTTTAAAAAATAATGTCCATCTATATAGTTAAAATTGATCATGACTAAATTATTTAAATATTTTTAATTATATTAAAATTAATTTTAAAAAAATAATATGCAAACAGATTATATTCTAACATAATCAATAATATAATCAAAATTAATTATATTAATAATTAATTAATTAATTATACCTAAATTCAAACGAGCTCTTCAACTAATGCAACCGTGCAAGGTCCATGTGAAAAATAAGATCCAAGCAGGCGAGTAGCATTCA